AATAAATTTGTTTTTATAGAAAATAAATAAATAGGTAATTATTTAAAAATAAATGACTGTGTGTGAGAGTGTTGCATGGAGATGACCATCAACTATCAACCATCAACATGTGGCTTGTCACATGGCCATTGGATATTCCAACATGTTGAGGATTAAACAAGGGCCTATGGCCACTCCACCATCAACATCAACTCCATGGCCACGACTGTGCTATGCTAATTCTGTGGTTTTCACCTTATCCTCCCAACCACATTGACTCCACACCATGTGGATAAGTACAACCAAGAACAGGGGTGGATGGGGACAATTCTGTGGGGGGATTAGGACTCATCCCGAAGACTTTGGCAGTTAACCTCATCCCAACAACCCCAGAAGCTGAATCCAATCAAGATACGGACATTCGGCTATAAAAGGGTATTTCCCACTTAAGGTAAGGGATTCCAACATCTAGCACCCATATTGTTATTTTGTTCAGACCAGTATTGTTCTCTAACTTCTCAGGCCAACCACCCATCGCTTTCTACTGATTTGAACATTAGAGTGCCTACCCGGGGATAACTCCTCGGGCCTTTGACATCTTTCTTGATCATAGATCTTGGAGCGCAACTTCGTCCTTCCACCTCAGCTCCGTTTTGTTGGCAAGGACTATCTGACTATGACCTTGGTTCATGCACCACCTTGGATCGAGCAGTATCATAAATATATATTTTGTATAAATACCCTCTTTTAGGTTCAAGAATGTAAAGTGGGTTAGTAGTGTAATTTTTTTCTTTTTTGTATTTTTCTTCTTTGTTAAAAATTTGTGCAAAACGTGGGTCCCATCATTATATGTATTAAACTTTTGGTCAAATGCACCAATTATTAGAAGAGTACAAAAATGTATTCAAAAAATGAATACCGCATTCTCTTCATAGCACAAAATTATCAAAAAATACATTTTTGACATCTTAATCATTACATTTTTGCATACCAAACAAACAGAATACAAACGAGTCAATGCAAATTTTAATTTTTTTTTTTAAATTTGCTTTTATTTTGATTGTTTGTATTGTAAATTAAGTAAATAGGAAAAAAACCCGAAAACAAGTTACTGCAAGAACTAGTGCAAAAGAGTATCAGAATTTATACTTTTCTTGATACACCCAAAGATATAAATGAATACACTGATATAAATATGTTAAAAAGGTTTAATAATTTGTAGGGGTGTTCACGGGTCGGGTTGGGTCGGTTTATTGGGGTTTTCCCAACCGATCCGACCTGGTCGGGTTACTTGAGGTGGAAACCAAAATCGACCCACTGATAGGCCAAACCGACCTGGTCGGTTTGAGTCGGGTTGGGTCGGTTTGGGTCGGTTTCGGTTTTGCTCCTGTACAAAAAGACACCTAATTGAATTCTAATTGTAATTGCCTAATGAGTTGCCTATTTGGTGTAAAAGATTATATAAAGTTAGAAATTAGGATAAATTACCTATTCTAATTGTAATTGCCTAATAGGCCTTCTAGTTCTAGTAGAAGACTAGTTATAATTAAGTAGAAAACTACTCAAAATAGGTACTAATTCAGTTCGGGTCGGATTGGTTTCGATTTTCATACAAGAAAACCGATATTTGATGAAAACCCGGTGACTTGAGTTGGGTCAATCCGGATTGATCGGTTTAGTCGGGTTGGGCATTCTTATGAATAGCCCTAATAATTTGAGATGAAGGAAAGCATCCTTTGGTTCATATAAAATAAATAAAAATGATGATTATCAGTGATATCTGGGTATATTGATATTTTTAATCCTTGGAATTAAATAAAGAATGATCTGGGCTGTGTCGGTATGTAATTTTGGTTGCTGGTGGCACTAACAACTTGTAGCTCTACCACCCCTTTTGTTGTTAGCAATTTAGGATTGTTGTTTAGATCATTACATATCCTGGTGAACCCTACAACCCCGGTGTAGGTGGTATTCGCTACAATCCACATGGAGTTCACATTTCCGCCTTACAATGCCCTACAATATATTTTTGTCGTGTATTGAAAATATCTTCCAATGATAATATTATTGATTTTGATATTATCATCGGGAGATGTTCTCAATATATGACAGGGATGTGCTGTAAGGCGTTATGGGGCGAACATGTGAACTCACCTATAGAAGACTTACCAACCAACCAGTTCTAGCAGTTTTTATATATTGAACCATGAATTGTTAAATGAATATCAAACCGTTGACCCGTTCAATAAATGGTAAATGTTTAATAAAGTTGCATTTTCAATTAATTATATGAAATAGGGTGGGAGTGGGTTTAAGGAACTCACTAACTCCTTAAGAGCTCAAAATTAATTGGCCCTTGAATGACTCAAGCTCACGAAAGGACGTTTTTAGCAAAGTGAAATCTCATCACATGATCGACCAGCAGTGTTGGTTAATTGCCGTCTGATTCTTGAAATGTTGACCACCCAAATTTGTTCTATATAAGGAAAGCATTTGTTAAATTCCTCGCAAATGGATCAAGTTCAAGCCAGATGTACACCAGCAGTTTGGCGTCCTTGGACAGTTGGGTGCCTCGTGTAGGATCTCACAGTCACAGGTGACAAGCCCAGGGTTTGAGGAGAAGATAATCTGACGGTGCATTGAGTCTCCGCCACCGAATGGTTGTCGGTGGGACCATCAACCATGCACCGCTTGCTTCGTTACTTTCCATTGTACACAACCAGCTGACGAATTTTCTAGACAAATCCGAAGTTATAATTATTAATTAATCCTTAAATTTCTCGATAAACTTACGGTTTTTCAAACAACCCGTATATCTACACACTACAACTTGGGGGTGTTGGGTCGGGTTGGAGTCGGAATTTGTTAATTTTTCAATGGCCTTAAACCCTAAACTGAACTCGATGTAATAATTGTTCAAAAGGGCAAAAACTTCAAACTTTTTTGTTTTTTGTTTTTTTTTGTAGTTGGGATGACACCCCTAACTGCCTAGACTTTGCTATTGTTGATTCCCATTAATTTAATAATATTTTAATTTATAAAAAAACTCGTAGTTGAAAATTTTTATTTGAAGGGTGCTTGTTAACGTGGTTGATATGTTGTTATTGTATTTTGGGTGAATTAAGAAAAAATGTATGAAAAATAATGCTTTTTTATTTAGACACATACATTTGTAATTGGGCATCCCAAAAGCCTACCCATGATGGAGCCGCACATATCTGGAGTGTATAGTTTGTAGGGTGTTTGGCAATATGCTAAGTTTTATTTCTGTCCTACGCCAAGCAAATCTATACTCATTTTCTTAGAAAATTTTCAAAAGGCCTAGGTCAATTGACATTAACAAATACAAAAGCTTAATTCAAATCCAAGCATACTGAACCAGATTTGGAATTCAGCGCTACTAATTTTTTCTCTCAGGATTGGTTTGGATGTATTAGGATGGTGTTTGGAAGCATGGGCATTTTTTAGGACCGATTTAAAAAAAAAAAATGTTCATACTTGTTAGACCCGTTTTTCACAAAAAACACATTGATGTATTTGGAAGTATTTCTGCCACATAGGCAGTGAGCAATATTATACTGTTTGGTAAGGTGATTTTCATCACCGTTTTTCTACCACATATTCGTCATATCAGTCAATTGTTGGGGGCAACAGTTCACTGAAATATGAAAACGCCAATTTAACATTTTATGCAACAATTGGATCCTAATTTACGAGGCATGCCTGTTTTTCAGCATTTTTTTAAAAAACGCTTAAACCAAACAATCATGTATGTGAGTATCTGTTAAATCGCCTACATGGATCTAACGTGGCACCGTTTTTCAGAAAAACGGCCACGCTTCCAAACATCCGCTAGGTTTGAAGAGCAAATTCGATTTGTGTGGTTTATTGTTTTTGGTTAATTGTTAATGATTTAAAGCAACATGACAAAGAGTTAAAACGTGTGCAACAAAAAATGGACGGTCGAAGTTGTTGATATCCTAGTCAGCAAATCCATCCAACGTGTCAAAAGATAGGCATCGGACACATTGCTTTGAGAGACCAAAACACGACACGCGTTAAAGACAAAGCTGGCTTTTGTCTATAAATTGAAGTCCGTTTTTTTCGAGCGTCAAGGGATTTCCTCTTTCAAAGTGTCTTCTCTTCTGTGTCTCAAAAACAAATTTCCATTTCAAATATCTCGTGTTTTAGACTTTCTTTTTGGGTCAACATTGATTGAGTTTAGTTTTATTGATTCTTGGTAGAGGTTGAGATTGATTTTGTATATCATTCGGTAATCTTGTTGAATTCGAAGATGTTGGATATGGATATGGTGGGAGGATCTCTTCATCTTACATCGTTGAATCATGTCTCGATGCTGTGTAGATCAGTCAAAAAATCTCTACATTTCTATCAGCACGTACTAGGGTTCATCCCAGTTAGGCGGCCTGAATCTCTCAACTTCGAGGGAGCATGGTAAATTTATTATTAACACAACTCCATGTAGGATGTTTGATCTAATTTTGTTGTTGTTTGGATTTTCTTTCTTATGCGTAGGCTATTCGCTTATGGAATTGGCATCCATCTTCTGCAAGCAGGGAACCCAGAAAGCTTGCCGACGAAAAGCGAGATTAATCCTAAAGACAATCATATTTCTTTCCAGGTAGTTCCTTCTCTACTTCTCTCCAACTACCTTAATTAATTCACAGACGAGAGAACTGACTTTTTTATTCTTTACAATTAATTTATAAAACTTACTTTAATTTACAGGTTTAGCCAATGATACAAGCAAGAAAAAAGTAAGAAAGCTTGGCTGCATCTTCTGTGAAATTAATAAATGAAATAAAAGTGTGGGTGACATCAATGAAGTAATTAATAATTTAAGGAAGCTGAAAACAAGATAAATTTTAAAATAAATTGAGATTGAAAAGCGTCCTACGTATGTTCTGCGATTCTTTTGGTCCCCTCAGCTAAATTAGTTCTAACCTAAACAACTGAATGCTTCACTTGGGTTTTAACTTTTAATTAATTAACCGCCTTATTTCAGTAGTATTATTATGGAATTCTAGGTATAAGGAAACGACGGAAAATATAATATTTGGATGTGCATTGTGCAGTGTGAGAACATGACAGTAGTGGAGAGGAAGTTGAAGGAGATGGGAATAGAGTACGTGCAGAATAGAGTAGAGGAGGGTGGGATATACGTGGACCAGTTGTTTTTTCATGACCCAGATGGCTTCATGATCGAGATTTGCAACTGTGAAAACCTGCCGGTGGTCTACCTCGATGGCGAACCCGCTGGAGCAGTTTGCTCGAGACGTAGTTTCAAGAAGCACCAGCAACCACCACCATCACCGCAAATGGTTAAATGTGTTACAGCAGTATCTGTTAAGGAGGACTACCTCTCTTGTGCAGGATTCTATCGAGAGGGATCGAATTGTTAGATCAAAAGTATATTCCTTTTGTGTAGTGTTGTAATTTTTTTTTTCACTTTTCTTGTAGACGTAGATGATTGTATAAATAAGAAATTTTCTAATTCCCATCAATATTCATTGAATTCTATTTTCAACTTGTATGCAAAAAAAAATGTAATTTGAACTATTACATTTCTTCTGTTCAATTTCCCCTTATCTTATATTAATTAATCATATTAAAAAATAATAATTGTGATAAAGTATAATTATTTTTATTTATGATAAAAATAAAATAAAATACTAATTTAAAATAAAATAAAATATTAATTAATCATATTAAAAAATAAAATACTAATTTAAAACCAACCCCAAAAAATGTAGTTGCTTTCCTATTTGATTTCCAATTAACAATTCAATCTTTTGAGTCAAAATGTGTTACCTTGATGTTACTTTTAAAAATAATAAAAATTAAAAAAAATGAAAACACACAAAAATATAAAAATGCCAAAAAATTATAAAAAACTATTTAAACATATCTTTAATATTATATATTCATCATTTAACAATTTTTATAAAATAGAAATATAAAAAAAATTTTGAAAGCATATTATTTATTATTTTCGTCGTGATGAAAAATAACCATATACATAGCATCTGCACAATTCCTAATAGTCCAAAGTTCATTAAAGTTTAGGCTACCTGAAAATTTGTTACGTCCCCTACAGCGCTAATACCAAATGTTAGACACTTTTCGTGAGGGATGCATGCCTTTGTCCTTAATTTGTTTGTAACCAAATGTTGGACAGTATACGTCCTTCTTTGTAACCAAACAAATAAAAAAAAGCATTTTTAAATTACTGAAAAAATGGCATGTTTCGAGAGGTGAGAGGAATGCAATTGAGAAAAGTATGGATATATGGTGATAAATTTTCAGAAGATCCATGAGGCCTGATTGGTTGTTGCATGCATCTGTGCATAGCTAGGGGGAGTCAATGGACTGGTTTTGGGTTAGACCCTGTTCAAATCAAAATCAATTTGGCTGGTTTGGGTGGGCCAATAATACATATTGAAAAAGACCAGTCCAGATTTAATGATCCAAAGTATTTATTGGATTGGATTAGATCTGGTCTATTCTTAATCAATTTATATTGGATTGGGTTGAATTGTAGCAATATATTAATAGAAGACTAAGAATACAAATTTGGATTGAAACTAATCTAAATTAAAATAATGAAGTAAATTTGGATTGAAACTAATTTAAATTAAAATCAATTTGAACAGATTGAATGATCTAGACATTGAATTGAATTGGGCCAAAATGGTCCAGAGTATTCATTGGATCATCAGACCAAATCTGGTCCAATTGACACATTAATTCACCCATCTAGCACTGACAATGCTGCAAGTAGTCTATGTTAATCAACATGCATATCTTGTAGGGGAGCCTTGTTGATAGCCCAGGCTGTTATCTAAATTTTTCCCTACTCTCCTCACCCTTAATTTATTCATAAAAAACTAGGGTAAAAGTTCCCCCAAGTGCTCAAAATAAAGCCAGCTATATCCTTGTGGGCTTTTGCTGAATACGAGGAACTCACTAAAAATCAGAGTGATGGTAGATGTTCTGTGGCTGATCCATTAAATCCCCTTACAGCATCGCAAGGAAGCTACCATATATATATATATATATATATATATATATATATATATTCACACTTCATTCGGATACTCAATTTTTATTGGTTTTGTGTTCTTTTCACAGCGTGTTGGAAAGCTTGTTAGACAGCCTTGTAGTCATACCCACAACCAATTGTATGCGTTAGGACTCCTTATGATGAAATAGAGTTTGGATGTGCTCCTCACACCAATCTCATATATAGTTTATTCCAGTCGCACAATGGGAACTTTTCTTGTCTTTATGTGTTGTTATTCATGGGGAGATGTTCTCAATCCATTGTGGGATGTGCTGTGTGGTTGGTGTGATCAAAGAGCAAATCCTGATTCAATGCAATGGTGATCTGAGTATCACAAGTGTTTTCAGACTCGAACCAGTCCACATGGTGATTAAGCAGTGAGCTTATTGGGTCCCAATTCTTTGACAGTTTCTTCAGTTGGCTGGTTAACCATTAATAAAACCTTGACCCAATGAGCTTAATTTCACTTTGTTTATTGGGTCTGAGCTAGTCTTTATGATATCTTCTGAATGGGGAGGGATTCGATCCCAAGTCTCCGCTACTGATAACACTGGTTAGTGAATAGTCATTAAGGGCCGGGGCATTTGGCAACCCACCTTTGATTGAACTAGCTGAAATGTTGATTACTTTTTAGCAAAACTCTTCACAAAAAATTAATAAAATTTGTTAATATAACGTAGGATCCCATTGCTTGGATTTACTTCATACATTGCCAAGTGACCCGGACTGGATAATGAACCGGGATAATCATCATCCAATTCATCTCAGAGTACCATGCGGATACTTATAAATTGGTAGTAATTAATCATCACCATCATCATTGGACGAATTAGAGTTATAAAAATAATGTTTTGAATGATCCTTCTCTATTTTATTAAATTTAAAAGGCATCAGTGGAATCTCAGGCTCAATTTGAATTGAATAAAAATACAAATATGTACTGTCCAAATACAAGGTTTTGCATACTACAAATTTGTATTTGCACTCCTACCAAACTGAGCCTTAATTATTATATTATTTTTAATTAGCTTGTAAACTAAGCTTTAATTAATAAATCGTGTGTGTGTCAAGGGCCCAAATATTTTCAACTTTTAGAACTTTGCCACCACCCAATGAAATAGCTAGGAATTTTTTAGCTGCGTAAATCTGAACCAATTTGCACCCAGTTTGGTTTTGCAATCATTTATTTGTAATTGTAATTTGCACTCTAATCTGATGCAAAACTTATACCTTTTGTCTTATTTGTATTCATATAAAATGGGACTGCTTTATCCTGCTGCTTCCTGCCTTGTTCCCATATGGATGATTCTCTTTCTACCTCCTCCATTCTCTCTTTCATGTAAAGTGGAACCATATATCATATTTTAATTCGTATTTTATTTCTAACGGCAATCAAATCTAAAGCAAAAGTAAATCAGGTTTTACACAACCTATTTGTACTCCCCTTGCATCTATACCATGCAAATGAAATTTGCGCACTGAAAACAACAAGTATCGAATTGGAAGATCTGCAATGTCTGCAACTCTTTTGAAAGAGGAAGGTAAATGGGGTGGTGGGTGGAAGTCAAGGAAAAAGTCGCCGGAGCTCCAACGTGTATGACGAAGAATATTGAAGATGGAAGAGGATGAATCTCTTCAAGGCCAAATGCAAATGCATGATTAATTGTAGGATGTTTAGTTCAAATGTCAAGCACACTCAATCGGTAGTTAGTTGCAGCGGTGAGGTGGTGAGGGGAGAAGAAATGAGAGGGAGAGAGAGAGACACAGAAACAAGTTCGGAGGAATGAAGGCGGAGAGATTTGGGGTAGATTAAAGGGGAAAGAATTCAAGCAAGTTTAGAGAATTTAAATTTGTTTGGGGTCCATACTGACGTTACCTCTTGACTCCGTTAAAATTGAATTCAAATTAAATAAAGACATGGCTGATTTCTATTGGAGGGGACAGAAATTTATTCTCTTAGGGACAGACGATGTGAGCTGGGTGGAAAGCAGGGAGATGGGGCCAAGTGAAACCAACTTATTCCTTACTTTTTTTTCTTAAAAGAGAAAATTTTAAAGTGGGATCCACCTATTATTTATACTCCATTGCATCTATATCATACTGCAAACAATCTAAGCCTTAATTATAAAGTTTTTTAACATGCAACTCTACATCTTTTATTCCTCTTGTTTTCTTTTCTATCTGATTTGATTTATGGTTTTTTTTTTCTTTTGCGGGAAGCTATATCTGCATAGAAAACTTTAATTTGTGAAAAAAATTGGCAGCTGGTTGGTTGTAAAATTTCATGCTCGTTGGGTTTCTAACAGCCAACAAGTGGAAAAGAAGACGAAGATAGATGGAGAAAAAGGGGAAAGAAAAAGCTTTTGTCAGCTGCTGGAATTCATATCCACTCCATTTGATCAAAGCTATAATAATAAAGGAAATAGTTTCAGTTATAGTTCAGAACTAGAACTATGTTTGTTTCGGCCTTTCGGGAAGCAAAAAGGATTGTTCTTTTTATTTTTTTAATCCCTTCCTTTTTCCAGGAACAAGTGAAAAGTTCTGTACTTCTGTTGGGATCGATGCCACCAGACACGGCCGGAATTCCTGAAACTCCAGAAACATTCATTCTCTATCTATAGTTATATAGCTGCATGTGTGAAAACCTAAAGCGATACATTTTTATTATAAACCTCTGATCTCTCTCCTCTGAGATGGAGATATCATAGCTCCGAGATGGAACCAAACCTAGTGATGAGTAAACCAACGACCCACATTTGAACGAACACAAAACACGCATATGTATATATGTGTGATATTAATTAGCGCCCTGTGATTAGCATTTGGTCAGGATTCTTGAGCGTCTCGAGTCGTTGCAGATGAAGCTTCTGCCTGTACTTCTTGATATATGCCTCAGCAAGGTCATTTACGTCGTAGCTGTCGGTGATGATCACGTTCTTCTTTTCTCCGGCAAGAGACCTTTTGTTTGCCTCCGCAGAGTTGTGCTCCGTGATGCCATGAGACTTCATGGGTCTGCTATCCCCTGAACTAGACCTGCTCGGTGGCCCGGGAACTTCCTCTATTTTCGGCACTATTGCTGATGACTTCTTTTCCCCGGCAAGAAACCCGTCTTTTGCCTCCGCAGAGTTGTGCTCTCTGCTGATACCATGGGACTTCAAGGGTCTGCTGTCCCCTGAATTAAACCTGCTCGGTGGCCGGGGAAGGGGAACTTCCTCTATTTGCAGCACCATTGCTGATGACTTCTTTTCACCGGCGAGAGACCTTTTGTTTGGCTCGGCAGAGTTGTGCTCTCTGCTGATGCCATGAGACTTCATGGGTCTGCTGTCCCCTGAACTAGACCTGGGTCTGGATGGTCGGGGAAGGGGAACTTCCTCAATTTGCACCACCC